AAGGAAGTGGAATTTTCGTGTTAGGTTCGGCAATGGATTTTTAGAAACGTTCCGTGAACCTGCGACGAGGCTTTCATCGACCATTGTTGGCGGAAGTTCCGGGGAGAGAAGTTTTCTCGTGAGTTGATCGTCGATCGACTCGAGGATTAAAGTTTCGAGGGGTTTGTTGTGATCTTTCGGGGATCCCAAGTTTCTTCCTGCGTGATACCAATGAGCATCTTTCTTCTCGAGTAAGTTGGGAATGTGATAAACGTTATACGCGATATATTTCTGGATTAAACTCTGAATACAGATTATGTAAAATATTGTTCAACTTACGCTTTCACATTTTTCGCGTTTAAATCAATTAGCAGAGCACTTCGATAAAACTTCCAGTCCTAACGATCCTACAATTCGGTAATAAACCTTCGATTTACCCACTGAGAAACACCCCGTGTAACAGCACACGTAACAAAAATTCACACAGCGATTCTTCTCCCAAAACGAAGCCTACGCAACCGTGATACTCCTATAATCATCGAAACCTCTCTGCAGAATTTCCACGTGGAAGCGTGTTTTCCCTTCGTTAAAAAAAAAAAAAAAAGAAAAATCCCAATGATTTATCCACGGAACAAAGGAGAATTCTCAGGCTGGTCTCGATCGTAATTAGAACCAAAACGCAGCCAGCCACCTCCGCTTCCGTGTAGAAGTCGCGTAACGGAAGTCATTGTAAACAGAAGGAAGGTTCGCAGAGCGAAGGTTTCACGAAGAGACGCGATAGAGAAACGCACAAAGCCTGTGTGCAGGTATACATATCTCGTCTAGTTAGACAGGCTCGTGTAAAATCCTACTCGAACGTAGCTGACACGATTTTATTACGTGACTAATCTGTTTTCCACCGTGCCACGCTCTGGGCTCGTTAACAAGGAGTAACGTCGTCGTCGTTCCTAACACGTCTTTCTTCGCGCCTTATCAATTTCGACCGTTTGTGCACTGATAACAGGGCAAAGAGGAAACGCGGAGGTGGAGAAAAGGACGGCGATAAAATCCGAGACAGCCATAAAGGAATCGAGTGTCGCACACCGATAGAGGGAGGCCGAGTATCGCCGCACCACGATAAGTCCTTTGATCCGTCTCACGATTTTCGAGAACGTCGCCCCGATAAACGGTTCGATGCTTCCTTCGATAATGTCGCGATGAAATCGTGCCGGCTGGATATATCGCGAAGCTTCCTTCAAGATTTTTCAGAGGAGGCGCGGATACCGACAACTGCTCGAATATGAAACTCGCGGACGACTGACTGCGAGGTGTTATTGGAAAAGGCGTTTCGGGGTTAGAGGTGGATCGATGGATATTGAGCGAACAGTTTGCAAGTTTCGTTCCAGTGATCTTGGGGTTCTTTGTGGAGCTTCGAATCGATTGGTTTAACGATTTTTCGACAGGGCTCTTTTTTTCATTTTTTAAGGTTCTGATTTTCAGAAATTTTAGACTATTTGAAAAACGACCCTCTACGGGGAAGACAGAATTTTTTATATTGAATTTTCTTGTTTCTTTTTGTATGTAGAATTGCTTTTTGAGTGTTCTTTTGTGACAGGGGTCCTTTGAATTTTTTAAGGCTGCGATTTCGAGAAATTTCTTTGAAACTTACTTTGGTGAAAATTTAAAAAATTAACAATTATCCTGTATACAGAAGACTGGGTTTTTATTTTTGCATGTAGAATCGCTTTTCTGGTTACTCTTTCATGACAGGATTTTTTTGGAATTTTCTAAGGTTCTGTAATTTTGCCAGATTCCGAAATTTACTTTCGATAATTTAAAGAACGATTCTGTGTAAAGAATATAGGAGAACAATAACGGACTTTGATATTTTCTTGTATATAGAAATGCGGAATTAACGCGTGCATTCAGTTGCGTGCGTGTACCTAGTATATTAATACAAACAGAAGCAGGAGAAATATATCAGAGCACTTACATCTAATGTTTTAACATGAGAAAAAAATTGTTTTCCTTTAATTCCCAGCGCTTAAGTAATTCATTTTATTATACCGTACCTAGTTCCTAAGCAATTACGTCCAAACGACCACTGTGCGTTCATTATTTTCACCCCTTATTAGAACATTCCTTGTGTAAGTTTTATCTATTTAAATTATATCCAATGGAAAACTAAAGTTTATTCAAATCTGATCGAATTCGTGAGATTTCAGATCAACTCCTATACTTTAACTAAACTTCTCTCATACTCTCGTGAATGTGTCTAACGTTAACAATAATTCTGCTGAATATAATAAAAAAAATTCTCGATGAAAAGTGGATGCACCAAAAAAATTTCCAAACCCTATGCTACCACGAACCCCGAGATTTTTTACAACCTGTCCTTTCCCAAGATTCCCTTTGAATCGGATCCTTTATGCTCTCTCGCTGTGTTCGACCCAAGGCCACTGCCAACGTTTTAGGGCTGTTCATCACGCAACAATTTGTCACGACAGCGTCGTAAAAACGATGTAATTGTTCGAGGATCGTTTATCTTGTGCAACAAACTGTCGGTAAAGATCGCTTTCGAAAACTTTTCACATCGTTGTTAAACAAAATTTGGGAAGTTAATCGTGCAAAGTAAATGGGAATTTTCATCTTTATCGCTTGAAACAGAGAAGAAAATGAAATAAAATTGGATAAGAAATTTATCAGATTTAATTTTACTTAATTCTAGGAGTAAAAAGTGTAATTTATAAAATAACGAAACAGGATGCAATTTATTGTTTCAAAGGAAGATGCAGCTTTATAATTAAGTGGCTATAGGTAAAAGTTGAGGAACTTTCGAGGAAGCATTATATCACGAACGTGACGTCTTTTTATGCAGCAGTCTCTAACAACCAGACATCCACCGTTACTTTTTTATGTGGAACGAGCTACACCGTATACATTGAATAGGAAAATACTAATTCACAGAAAGAACCGCTAAGATTCTCTTGCCAGTTCATATTCAAACTTCTTCCAAACCATTGTAATCAGAAACGAAGATTCCGACAAAGAAAACAACATTTCACCCTACTTTTTCAACTTCCATTTTATCACAAACCACTGGTCTCTTTACCCGTTCCTTAGGCTTACACTACCGGCCAAAAGTTTGGAATCACCTCCCACTTCTCATCGATATTAAATCTGCTGCTAATTTTTTATAGATTTCAAGTTTATCTCAATTCTACATTTATCAATTGATTCGAACGATAAAAAATTCTCAAAGTCGCCGACTTTTTTCTGGAAATTTTTGTGTAAATTGCAATGCTCGGTGATTCCAAACTTTTGGCCGGTAGTGTATATACCGCAATATACTCCAATTTTCCACGATAAGTTCCAAGCGTTCGCGTATCACGTGCAATACACGCTTAAATCGCCCAACGGTATTTAATCTTCGATTTAAAAAATTGAATAAAATTCTGTAATAAATGAAGAAACTTTAAATTACGATATCCTTGGATAATCTCAGATTCTTCCATTCATAAAAATTTAACGAATCGAACTTGAACGAACAATTTGACAATTTGACGAAATAAAATTTCTATCCTTTCGTTCGTAAAAATTCAATAGATTGAATGGAATTTATAAAATTTATTACATTTATTAAATTTTTCAAATTCCATTCGATCGATCAAATTTTCACGAACGAAAGGATGCAAATTTTATTCGTCAAATTTGCCTAACGATATCCTAATACAGACCAGGCCAGCGAAAAAATATAGATACTGTTCCTGAGACCACAAGAGAATCCACATGCAACCCCATTTTTCTCCTGTCGACGAATAATTTTCAACAAATCAATTCTCGTCGTGGAAACGTCTCCGACGCCCTCATAACCCATTCATGCCTACGCAAACGAACTGAAATTCAGCGAAAGAGTGGGAGTTTGTCGTCAGAAGTGTCGGTACAGCCTCGTCGCCTCTGGTGAGGCTGAAATCCGAAAGACACAGAGATTACCCGAGGATACAGCCGTGGGAAAGTCTTAGTAACGGCGCACAGTGAAGTGCATAAGAGGTCCCCGAGGAGGAATAGGTTTAAGGAGGAGGGTAGGAGTAGGTAGACCTTCTCGAGCCGGTGTATAGAAATTCAGTGAGCTTGCAAAACCTCTTGAGCACGCGCTCGAGAAGCGGCTCGTCTTCCTCTTGTCGTAGGCGCGGAGAAAACGTACGAAAGAAGAGGCGAATTCCTTTGTACGAACGACAAGCCAGGGACGAGCGTCGACAAATTGACCGAGGATGAAATAAAAATCCCACCCCTGCGACTTTCTCTCGTTCCTCCTTCAAACTATCGCGAGCTTTCAAATCTATGGTGAAATTCTAATTGTCTCGAAAGATTCATTTTCTCCATGTGATTCGATAGACTTTCCTTTCAAACGGAAGAACCAGTCGTTTGCATAATTTCATAAGTTTGAATAAACTTTGGTAATTAAAAGTTTCTGACGAAGAAACGATTTTTAATTTCGTTATTTTTCAACGCAAACGTCTCTGTGTAGATTAATCCATTGTAAACTACCCTGGGAATGTGCGAAAATATCGTTTTGAAAGGTATTTTCCATTGGAATAAATTGATGCAATATTCTCGTCATTTTGCTTTTCAAACAGGGTGGAGAACTTTTGAAATAAACAGTTTACGAGTCGCGATAAAACGCGAGACTCGG